TTTTTTTCTATATTGTTCTGCCTTTAGAAAGGTTTTTAGAAAGGTACTTCTCACCCCATAATAGTAAAAATACCATATTTTTTTCCCTACTACTTTCATAGTTTTCTTATCTTAATCTTTATGGAATTAATTTTGATATAAGATACAGTGGTTTTGAATTATAGTTTAATGCAGGGATGATGCACTTACCTGGTAAAATATACAGTAAGAGTCTCCCTCCTCTCCCTGACTAATGTGAATATCACTATATTAAAATTCCAAAGGGTTTAATTTATTAGTAATAAAATGATCATATACATAATCATATGAAAATGTCTCTGTGTCCTTTTTAATTTCATTCTTAAATTTTTAAATCATATATTTATGTTGTGTATGCATATATATATTATGTGAAAATTTTAAGCATTTATGATGCTGATATACATATTGTACCCATTTCTTATTTTTTCCCCCTTCAATCATATAAATTTTGATAGCATTTGCAATCACATTGAGTATAGAGATATTCTCTGGTTTTTGAAACATACTCACTGATGATTTAAATAAATTTGGAAGGTGCTCTACATAGTATGCATATTATATTGCTTGAAAACAATAGACTCACAAAGTCAAATCCAAGTACCTTTTTTTTTCAACTAGTTGTTCCTAGTTATCAGATATTCAGTAATTCCAACCACCTTAACTATGTTTTATTTTTTTGTGGTTTAAATATTTTGTAAGGGCAAAGCAATTTGTGTTTAGGAAATTGTTGACTTGGTGGTATATTAATGGTGTGAGAGGCCAACAGAGCCCTGCTCTAATGCCATCTCAGCACCTATAATGGACCACTTTTTACAACCAGAATTCTTTCCAAGTACAGTGTGATTCTTTTATAAGCAGTAGGTACACATTGACTTCATGGATGAGTCAGACTTTTGAAAAATGTTACCTCCCCTGCTTTGGCTGCATTTTTTCCTTACCTTGGAAGTCAGTATGATGTTGAGGAAGACGTACTGGACTAGACATTAGGAGACCTGGATTTGCCTACAAGTTTTTGCCTTTTTAGACAAGTCCTTTTTCCTCCTTTTGTTTTCTTAGTTCTTAAATGGCAGTAATAATTCCTTTTCCCTATCTATTATCATTTGTTTGAGCATCCTATGAAATTTTTAGACTACACAGCATCTATCTTATCTAAGTTTCTAGATGAAATGAGTTAATACATTAAAGCAGTTGATACATTAGTCATTAGGTGAGTGTTAGCCTTTATTATTATTATTATCATTATTATAATTACAGAGCTCTGGTGGCATAGTGCTTAAGACATTTGACTGCTAACCAGAAAGTTGGTGGTTCAAACCCACCAGCCGCTCCACCGAGGGAAGATGGGGCAATCTCCTACTGTAAAGATATGCTGTCTCAGAAACCCAGTGGTAGTCGCTATGAGTCGGAATTGATTTTCTGGCAGTGAGTTTGGTTTTTGGTTTATTACTATTATTAAATATTTTAGTTCTAACTAAATTAGCTCAAAAAGTGGACAAGTGACTTAGAGATTTTGCAGAGAAACTACAGATTGAAGATTATGCTAATAATGTAAGCATAAAGAAAAGAAAATAGCAGAGCTGACAGTTCTCAGGTTTCTAACACAAACTCTTTTCCAGTTACATTATTAGGTGAAAATAATGAAAATCTAGATATGATAAAAATATTAATGTGGCCAAATGCTTTCTTGAAGGTATATATGGTTTTACATTGTTGTTAATTATGAACTTCATCTTATGGGTCTGTTGTACCTTGAAATATAAGCTAATGAGACTGTGAAGTTATCAAATTTAATGAAACATTTTAAAATATATATTTACAATGTTAAATATATAAGAAATGACTTAAAATTGTACCTGAAAATATATTTAGAAGGTTTTTTTTTTTTCCCCTGTGTCTTGTTTAATAGTGAAAGATGAAAGGCCACATTTCATTAGGAAAAACACTTATTCTTATCATCACAGACCTGGCTGAAATTATACTTGGAAACATTATTGTCACACATTAAAAAACCTTCCTGCTCCAGAAAATGTTTGAAGACACGTGGAGAACATTGCTGATTATGTGAAGGTAGAAGTATTAGGAAAGATGACTCACCACATAAGATTTACTATAGAATTGCATTAGTTCTGTTTCAGCAGTGAAAATCATAAAGAGGTCTTTTTTGTGAGGCACTAAAGGAAACATGGAGACGACATATTCTCAATGGTAAATGAATTCTTTGGTAAAACCAAGTATTTTTGGAGGGGTAGGGTACTGTTTATGAAAGAACATGTGTAAATATAACCTAACCACTAATTGAGTACCTGCTTTGACTGGAATTAAATAAGAATTTTGGAGTAAGGTTACAAAACTAGCTCCTTCGTGGAACACAATCTTTCTGTCTTTTATAGGCAAGCTGTTGCAGCAAAGAAGTTGGAACCAGAATATAAAATCTTAATAGTATTTTACAATGACATGTAGAACAAGCATGAAAATCTTTGTGCCGTGCACAATCTTTTTGTAATTTCGTGGCAAAATACTTAAAAGTGTTTGATTTTACAAAAAGCAAAATGTTCTAGACTTGCAGTGATAACCTGGAGCTTCCCACTGCACACTCCCTAGGTGATATTTTCAAGGTGAAGATGACATTTTAACAATGTGAAAGCACTTGCTTTGCAACAGAAACTACTATGGAGAGAACGTTTGGAATGTGGATGTTTAGATGTTTCCTTCATTACAAAAGATGTTGCAGGAAATAATGGAAATGTGCAACCTAAAAAATTCTGACATATGCAGCTTTAAGAACTTGAAAGCAGACTTTTCTCATCATCCAAATGAAAAGGGTTAATGAGATATTAACTCATTTATTAGAAATATAACAATGAAATATTAGGTGATTAGTCTGTAAGACCTAATTGACAATAGGGGAAATGGAAATTTACTAACTGAATTGCAACAAAATCCTTTTATAATTGGTGGATTAGAAAGAAAAATGACAATCATTTCCTATTTCGATCTATGCATCTTTTTGAGATAGCTTTTTCCGCTCTAAGAGCCATTAAAGCAGAATATTAAGATACACTGTACTTAAGATTTGTTCTTCATGTTATTGTATCACAGGCTTTTAATCTAAGACTTTAAAAATGATAAAGCATATTCAGTCACACTATATTCACAATCAAGAGAAAACAATGTAAGATATAAGACAGTTTATCGAAAAGATTTCTTACTCATTTTTAATTTTTATATTTGTATATGTTACTGTAAGGCCACAGTAAGGAGAAGAGGATGCACAAAAGTGAGGTTAAAGAGAAGTTTTTATTCTGAGTTTCCAGGTGAGGTTCACGGGTCCCTAAGAGGGGCCCGAGAAGTCGCACCGCCTGGCTGGGGAGGGTTGGGTTTATAGTCTTGTGGAGGATCTAAGTGGGGACACTAAGGAAATGGTGGGGTCCAATTAGCTGTTAGCATGGGTCTGTACTTAATTAGCATGAGGGGGCTTCACAAGAGGAAGTTTGTCACTGCATAGGACTTTCCAGTCTGGGCGGGTTCCGTCACTTCGGTTGTCCTATTAGGCTGTCTCATCAGGGCCTGACATCTGGAGGAAGCTGCTAACTGAAATGTTGGTGGCTTGGGTTTGCTTTGGCCTAACAGTTACAATGTAATATATTAGTACTAGAATACAACTATGACTTAAATAATTTACTAACATATTCCTTTTGCAGTATATAGTCAGAATATTTGCTTAAGGAATGTGTGGTAGATTGAGTTATGAGCTCCCAAAATATCCAGGTCCTAATCCCTGGAACCAATGAATATTATTTTATATGATAAAATGGACTTTGAAGGCATAATTAAGTTAAAGATCTTGAGATGTGGGGATTATACTGGTTTATATGGGTGGGGCCTAAATGTAATCAGAAGTGTCCTTATAAGTAGGAGGCAGAGGGATATGTGACTGTGGAAGAGGAGAAAAGGTGATGTTATGACTGAGGCAGAGATTGGAGTGATGCCCTTTGAAGATGTAGGAAGGGCCAAGAAACCAAGGAATATAGGTAGCCACTAGAAGCAGCAAAGGGCAAGTAAATGGATTCTTCCCTTAAAGCCTCCAGAAGGAACCAGCTGTACCAGCATCTTGATTTTTTGCCCAGGAAAACTGATTTCAGAATTCTGACATCCAGAAGGAGAGAAAAATCTGTGTTGCTTTAAGTCACTAAGTTTGTGATAATTTGTTAGAGTAGCAATAGGAAGCTAACACAGGGAATACAGTGTAGGTGATTAGGGTAGTTTGGAGGCCATTAATCTCTACTATGGGAGCTCTGGTAGCATAGTGCCTGAGGTACTTGACTGCTAACTAGGAGGCTGGCGGTTCAAACCCACCAGCCACACCTCGGAAGGAAGCTTGGGTAATCTATTTCCGTAGTGATACTGCCTAGGAAACCCAAGGAGGGGTCACTATGAGTCGGGTCTGACTCCACTGCACATAACAACAACAACAACAACAACAATCTCTACTATAGGAGCTCTGGTAGCATAGTGCCTAAGGCAC